TTTCTTGAATACGTACATTATACTAGACACTGAACGAATAAATAGGTAAACAGAGATACCTAAAACCTATTCCATGATCTAAACAAATAAAATCAGAAACAAAAGAGAAGTGATATTCAACACCACAGAAATACAAAGTATAAGGACCTGAAAGAACCTGCAATCTAGCAGAAGAGAGACATATATCCAATAAGGACAATTCAAGGCAGTTGATGATATATGTTCAGTTGTTTTTGCTTCCTGGAATGTTGTTCAACATTAATCCTGCAATCACTACCTGGAGGAAAATCCTATCCCTCCTTAAAGATTCATGTCAAATGATACTTTGTCAGTGAAGGCTTTCCAGGCAATTCATCTCCTCCACCCACACCACTCCCAACTCCAAACACATACATTTAAACCCATTCCAGCAGATTTAATTACTCCTCTGTTCCCATAGTACTTTGCTCATAATTTTGTTATAGCACTTATTCAGTAATTTGTATTGGTTGTTTATAGGTCATGTCTCTCATTGTATTGTTAACTCTTCCATAATAATAAATGAGGGTTGTTGTTTTTTTTCCTATTCTTAGTCACTAGCACAGAAACTGGCATATAGTAAAATAGAAGTTTGGATTGGGGAGGAGTGAGAGAATAAGCAAACAAATGAAAATCAAATTCTAGATACAATGTTATGGAAACACATAGGAGTGAATAATTAATTCCTGTGAGATGGCTCCATAGGCAAGGTGACAGTGAGATGACCCTTGAAAAATGAGTAGGATTCGACAGGTGGAGATAAGTGTTGGGGAGTGGAGGGATATAAGGATGTTTAGGGAAGAACTGTTTAAGAATTTAAGAAGTTAAATAAGCCAGGGGGTGAAAGACAAATAGCATATGATCTCACCTATAAGTGGAACCTAATCAACAAAACAAACAAGCAAGAAAATATAACCAGCAACATTGAAAGAAAAAAACAGACAGTAACAAGAGGGGAGGAGAGAAAAGGGGAAGGGTCAAGTCAAGGAACATGTATAAAGGGCCCATGGACAAAGCCAAAATGGGGAAGAATGGAGGGAGGGAGTTGGGGGTGGCTGGGGCAGGGGGATGTGGTGGTGGGAAAATGGAGAGAAATGTATTTGAACAATAAAAAAATAATAATAAAGAATTTAAGAACTGAATTCATTGTAGCAAAATAATGTTAATTACAAATGTTCCCTGTCTGTTCATGTAAACAAGCCTAGTAAGAACTCTACTTGTTAACATTTTAACAAGTACTTTGAATTAATATATAGTTTGAAAATAGTATAACATTGCTGTCCTTTAACAAAAAAAAATGGTAATTTAGATCATCCTTTCCCCACACCAATTGGATTATTCTAGAGTTTGGCTATATTGGTCCATTTTAAATTCTCATTCTTTTATCTCAAAGTTCCTTATTGAGAATAATTCCTGATTTTCTTAAATTTCCCAGGACTGCAGAGCCAATGAGTAGCCAAACTGCTGCAAGGAATATTTTTGGCATTTTGGCCCAGCCCTTCTTGAGTAGGAAGGAAAGGCTTCATGGGGACCTGGGATATTTACCTCTGACTACTGATATCTATGGAAAAAAAAAAAGTTTCCATGACTTTTCTCCTACCTCCCAGTTGGCGTGCCAAAATAAAAGTGATTTTGTGCTAAGATGACTTACGGTTATATCTCTCCCAATTGTGCAGTATGTACCTGCATATACATATATAACCCACTTAGATGTCTTGGTTTATGTCATCCATGCTCCTGGAATATCTTCCCCTCTCTTTTTTATCTCTAATAAAACCACCTGTCACTCAAGACATGTTCTATAGAAATCTGATCCATTCTTTCAAATTCTATCTTCTTCATAAAGCCTTTCCTACCTATTCAAGCCACATTAGTTCTTCATTCCTTAAACTTCAATAACACTTCTGTTCTACACCATATGAGGTCTTTTTCCTTATTGTTTAATTGGATATAATTAAACATAGTGGCTAAAAGTAAACATCCTGTATGACCTTGGACAATATATGTGACCTTTCAAAGTGTCTCGTCTATTTAATGGAGATATAAATAGTCCCTATCTCATAGAGTTGTTTAAAAGTTACATGAGCCCTGGCCGGGTGGCTCAGTTGGTTGAAACATCATCCCATACACCAAAAGACTGCAGGTTCAATTCCCAGTCAGGGCACATACCTAGGTTGCAGTTTTGATCTCCAGTTGGGGTGCATATGGGAGACAACTGATCCATGTCTCTCACTCACATTGATGTTTCTCTTTTATATCAGTGTTTCTCACATCAATGTTTCTCTTTCTCTGCTCCAGCCTCCTTTCTCTCTAAAATCAATAAACATATCCTTGGGTGAGAGTTAAAATAAAATAAATAAAAGTTAAATGAGAATAATGTATGCTAAGTGCTTTACTATGTAGCATATGGAAAGTGTTCAATAATTGGTGGTAGTAATGGATGGGAGATAGTGAGAGTAGCAATAATAAAAATCATCACCGTCATCACCAGTCTCTTCAATTAGGTTGTATAGCTTTTGAATGCAGGGACTATGTGTCTTATCTGCTTATTTTCTGGTATTCCTCTAACTCCAAAAATACTCAGTTAGCTAATTTAATATGTGGTGATTATATGTTTGTTTCAATATGAAATTTGATCAGGAATACAATTTTACATTTTTATTGCTACTATGGAAGCCCTTGGATTTTTTTTCTGGGTTTGCATGGATAGTAGCTTGGATGGAAGTTTTGATGAACTAATCATTTGCAACTAGGCTATGAGAAGAATGGAAAACCTCTTCATCATCCCAAGTTCCTGTGTCATGTATGCTTAAAAAAAAAAAACAAACAGAAAACAGAAAACCACAAAATCCTGATGAGCAAAATCAAAGAACTAAATAAATGGAGAGGTATTTCATATTCACAGATAGGAAGACTCCGTATTATCAAGATGTCAGTTCTTCCCAATTTGATTCAATGTAATTTCAATCAAAATCCAAACAAGTTATTTTATGGATATCAATAAACTGATTCTAAAATGTATATGGAGAGACAAAGGACCTAGAATAGCCAACATGATATTGAAGAACAAACTTGGAAGACTGCTGCTACCCAACTTCAAAAATTACTATAAAGTTACAGTTATCAAGACAGTGTGGTATTGTTGAAATAATACATAAATAGGTCAATGGAACAGAATAGAGCACCCAGAACAGACCTCCATAAATAGAGTCATCTGATCTTTGACAAAGGATCAAATGCAATCCAATGAAGCAAAGATAGTCTTTTCAACAAATACTGCTGAAAAACTTGACATCACATGCAAAAAAAAAAATAATTTACACACAGACCTTATACCCTTTTTAAAAACTAACAAATGGGATTAAAGACCAGAATATAAAACAAAAAACTATAGAACTCCTAGAAGGTAACGGGAGAAAACCTAGATGACCATAGCTATGGTGATGATTTTTTAGATACACCACTAAAGGCACTATCCATGAAAGAAAAAATTGATAAAATGGACTTAATTAAATTAAAAACTTCTTCTCCCTGACAGACAATGTCAAGAGAATGAAAAAACAAGCCACAGGCCAGTAGAAAATATTTGTAATATACACATCTGGTAATGGACTGCTATATAAAATATACAAAGAACACTTAAAATGTAATAATAAGAAAACAAACAACCTGATTAAAAATTGGGCCAAAGACTTTAATAGACACCTCACCAAAGAAGATATGCATACAGCAAATAAGCTTATGAAAAGATGCTATACATTATATATCATCAAGGAACTGCAAATTAAAACAACAATGATACAACTACATACCTATAAGAATGCCCAAAATCCAGAACACTAACACTAAATACTGGTGAGAAATGTGGAGCAGCAGGAACTCTCATTCATTGCTGGTGGAAATGCAAAATGGTACGGCCACTTAGGAAGAAAGGTTGACAATTTCTTATAAAACTAAACATACTCTTACCATTTGATAAAGTGATTGTGCTGCTTGTTATTTACCCAAAGGAGTTGAACATTTATGTACACACAAAAATGTGGACATAAATGTTTATAGCAGTTTTATTCTTAATTGCCAAAACTCAGAAGCAACCACAATGTTCTTCAGTAGGTGAATGGATAAAAAAACTGTGGTACATCCAGATGATGGAACATTATTCAACACGAAAAAGAAATGAGCTATCAAGCTATGAAAAGACAGGGAGGAACCTTAAATGCATGTTACTAAGGTGAAGAAGCCTATCTGATAGGCCATATGCTGTATGACTCCAACAGTACGACATTACAGAAAGGCAAAACTATGGAGAAAATAAAAAAGATGAGTGGTTGCTGGGGTTAGGGGTTGTGGAGGGATGAGTAATCAGAGCACAGAGGATTTTTAGGGCAGTGAAAATACTCTGTATGATACTATAATGGTGAACATTTGTCCAAACCCATAGAATGTACAACAAGAAAGTGAACCCTAATGTGTTAAAACTATGGCTTTGGGATGATTATGATGTGTCAATATCGGTTCATCAGTTGTAACAAATGTACCACTCTAGTGGGGGATGTTGATAATGGGGAAGGCTATACAAGTGTGGGAGCATGGGTTATATGTGAAATCCTTATACCTTCCCTTCAATTATACTGTGAACCTAAAGACTGCCGTAAAAAAAGTCTTTGTTAAAAAAAAAAAAGAGGAAAGAAGGGAAGAAAAAGAGGGATGGAGGGAGTAAAGGGAGGAGGAAGGAGAAAGAGAGGAAGGAAGGAGATAGAAATACTCTTAAATGCCACCTGGCAAACTGTTTTCAAATTCTATGACTTCCTGCCGGTTCAAGCTGTATTGCTTTAATCCTTATAAGGAGCTGAAATTAAGGCCTTATCCACCACTTATCCATCCGTCAATTTCTGTAGAGTTTGTCAGAGTGTACATTGATAAATAATCTAGACACCGAAACCTTAATACAACAAATTATTTTGCTTGTAATTTCTTTTTAGCTGATAATAGTAGAACTCTGAATGTGGATTCCACTGCAATGACGCTACCTATGTCTGATCCAACTGCATGGGCCACAGCAATGAATAATCTTGGAATGGCACCACTGGGAATTGCTGGACAACCAATTTTGCCTGGTATGCTATTTTTAATTACCTCACAAATGTTTTTTTATATTCACCATATGGTCATAACTATAACAGTATGACACAATTTATTTTGATGTTGACATTTACTAGATTCTGCCTAGAGTGTGCATTTTTTGTAACATGAGCTTTATAAGCTTGGTGGCCAGTAGTTACTAGTACACTCCCTGCTGCCCTATATCTGATGCAGGACATTGTCACTGAACATTTAAATAACTCATTTAAATAAAAGGCAACAGGATTTGGCAAGGGATTACACAGATTGTCTAATTTTATGGATTTCTTAGAGGAGGCAAATAAACATTGGGCTGGGATGAGAACTGACTGAGACGTCCCAAAAATTGTATAATCCTAAAGGGAAGAAAAGTAGATAGTAGGGAACACCCCAAAGACTACTGTTAACATTCAGTAACTTTTCATGTTTTTTTAATTATATTAACAAATTAATCCATAAGAGAATGATCATGGTGTCTGGTGTCCTAGTTCCATCTCCACTAAAGATAAAATCAGAAAATATGCCCAACATCTTAAGGGTTTAGTTTAGACACAAAAAAAAATTTCCTGGACTGTCAGGGAAATTAACCATTAAAATTGATTAGTGAATGCATTAATTAGGGAATTACAATCGCAGAAAGCTCAGGGTGCTTTGTAAACGTCCTAACTATTAATCTCTCCAGATTCATTTAGTTGTGGTCCTACTTAAAAGTATAACAGGATCAGACAAATCTAGAACTTTGCTACTCAAAATGTGGTCTGCATAAGCTGAGAGTTGTCAAGAATCCCAGAATCTCAGGTCCCAGCTGAGTTTTAACAGAAACTTCATTTTAGCATGATCCCCAGGTGATTCAAGAGCATATTAAAGCTGAGAAACAGGTCTAGAGTGATACTGCTTTGTTGTGCCATTTGTTTATATAGTTAGCTACTCTCACTCCCCACCAAAATAATTCCACAATGCCAGACTAGATTTTGAATCCTTGTAGGTTATAATGGGAATAAGGCAGAATAGGCAACAATGATACATAATAATAATTATAAGAAATAGGATTACATTGAAAGCTTGGAAACAAGCATGAAAGCAGCCAAACATAAAGAAAAAATATGTGTATGAGAAATGGGTCGAGAAAAAAAGGAGCTTCGGTTCTATATGTAACAGAAGCAAAGAACTGTTTCAACAAACTTTAATTCACACCAGGAACTGTTAGTGACTAGACTGTATTCTACTCCATTAAACTAACCATGCTAGAAATGAGCAACCAGGAGTACTTTGAGGGCTGGAATGATTGGACCATGGATCTCTTTGGGTCTTAAATTGTTAGTGAGGTAAATCTGGGAGCAGCGAGTATTATTATAAGAGCTGATATTGCATAGTGGTTAAGAACTCAGATTCTGGAATGATTCTGCCTGACTTCTAAGCCTGTTTCTTTCTCTGCTTCATCTTGGGTAGTCTTATATATCTTCTATGAAACTCAGTTTTCTCATTCATAGAAGAAGACTAATAGTACGTATCACTTAATGTTGATCTGAGAATTAAATTGAGCTTAGTACAATGCCTGCAGTATAGTTAGTCCTAAAAAAAAATGTTGACTATAAAAATACTTAAAAATCTTTGTTAATGTATTTCTCATAGACATTTATAAAGGAAGGAATGGGTTTTTTATTTTGTTTTTCTTCCTTATTGCATTGTAATAGAATTTTAGCTAAAATATTATATATTATTTTATAGCTCCATATAGAGTGGCCCTGAGTCACAACCTCTTACAGTCTAGAGTGACTAGATAATCTGATTGATTAAAGTATTACCAGTTTAGGGAAATATGAACTCTATAGCTATATGTTCCAGGAAAAATCAAAGCCAGATCTGACCTGGTACCAAGAAAACTAAATATTAGCTTACATCAGATTATTTTTAAATCCCCACATCTGAACATAAGTCTGTGCCCACAAAATAATCTTCAGTGCTTAGCTACCCATCCATAATGTGGATAAAAATAGGCCTGTTATTGACAGAGGAAAAAAATCCAAACCAGGAGGGTCAAGATGGTGGAGGAGTGAATGGAAGTCACACTGACCTCCTCCCAGGACCAATCTGGAATTAAAAGAGAAATCACCTGGAACAAACAACTGAACAATAGTAAGAGAGGAGCCTTGTAACCTCAGACAGACAGAGGAATCAGTTTTCGCACAACCTAACTGGTAAGGAGTGTGGTAGAGACTGGAAAAGACTGGCTGGGTGCCCACAGGTGGGAGTTCCAGAGGGTTATTGAAATGGCCAGTTGGATCCCCCTGAGAAGAGTGGAATCTAAACAATAAGCATGGATCTCCAGCATGCAACACCAAACTCAAAAAATACACAGAAAATAGCCAGATGCAAAAAGCAACAGAGTTACTCTCTGCCAGAGACAGGCAACTGGAGATGTAAAGAGTCTTTTAAAGGGCCAACGCATAAATTTTTATTTGCAGCCACTTACCTTGGTCTCCAGCAAAAGTGGGTGCAGAGTGGGCTGGAGAGACCCACTCTGCGCCCACTTTTTTCCCCAGGGACTGGGGAAGGGGGCTTTGGGGAGAGAACTAAGGGAATAGCCAGAGGCATTCCCATGCTGACTCATCCCCGATAGGGCAGAAACCATTTTACTCACACACCACTCCCGTGAGGGACAGTACACTGAGAGGACACAATAGCCCCACCCACAGCAGACTCTGGCCTGGAACGCTGGTGCTTAAACCTGACGGCTGAATACAGAGTGGTAGTCACAGATAGTAGATCCCTGGATAAAGGGGTCACAGAGTGCTCCAGAGACACTTGAGTAGAGACTGCAGATGGAGGCTTTGAGGAGAGAATGGAGAGAGTAGCCAGCGAGATCCCAGAGCTGCCTCCTCCCCCATACTGCAGCACCCATCTTGCTCACGCAGACCACTCCCCTGAGTGGAAGCAGCGTGAGAAGTCACAATAGCCCTGCTTGCAGAAGGAACTCTGCCCCGTCCTGAGGTGCCTAACTTTGACTACTGAGGGCACAGTGACTAGATTAACAAGTAAAGGAGACAACCACAGACAGTAGATTCCTGGACATCTCGAAAAGTCTCTATAAGGTCAGATTGGCTCAACATCTGACATCACCAGAGGCAAATCCAGAAAGAAAAAACAGTGGTCTCCTGCCATAGAAGTTCACACTACAGAGTCAGGAAGTCAAGGCAGATCAATTTAAGAAGCAGAAGCAAAAAAGAAGAGTCTCACACATAATGGAAAAACAAAGGGATACCCCCCAATCAAAGGGAAAGGAGGAATGCTCAGAATACTAAATGAAGACATGCAAGTAAACTGCCAGTCATTGAGTTCAAAACACTGGTTCTAAAATGAGCTCAGTGAGCTCAAAGAATTACAAAAATCTATAGGGAAAGTATTCAGAATTTACTGCAGATTATATCAGCATGAAAAGGACATAGAAACTATCAATAAGAGGCACGAGGAAATGAAGAGTACAATTTCTGAATTGCGAAATGCTAAAGAAGGAATCAAAAGGAGGCTAGATGAAACAGAGGATCAAATAAGCGAGCTGGAGAACAAAGAGGAAAAGACCTGCCTGAAAGAGCAAGAAAATGAAAAAAGACTCAAAAAGAATGAAGAAGTGTTTAGGGACATGCAGGAAAACCTTAAACGTAATAATATCAATATAATAGGGATACCAGGAGGAGAAGAAGGTAAGGAAAGGATAGAGAACTTCTTTGAAAAAGTAATGATGGAAAACTTCCCTAAATGGAGGAGAGAAAAGTTACACAAGCCTAGGAAGCACAGAGTGTCCCATTCAAGAGGAGCCCAATGAGGCCCACTCTAAGACACATCATCATTAAAATGGCAAATATCAAAGACAAGCAGAGAATCCTAAAGGCAACAAGAGGTAGTAACATAAATGGGAGCCCCAATAAGGCTAGCAGCTCACTTCTCAACAGAAACACTACAAGCCAGAAGGGAATGGTGAGAAATATTCCAAGAAATGAAAAGCAAAGGCCTGCCAGCAAGACTGCTCTGTCCATTTTAATTGAGAACAGGTGTAGCAATACTAATATCAGATAAACTATATTTCAATACAGAGACCATAGAAAGAGACCCAGAAGGACACTTCACAGTACTGAAAGGAGGAATCCATCAAGAAGGCATACACATTATAAATCTATATGAACCCAACATAGGAGCACCCACATACATGAGGAAAATCTTGGAGGACTTCAATAACAACATAGACAGCAACACACTGATAATAGGGGATTGTAACACTCTACTGTCAGCAATAGATAGATCGTCTAAACAAAACATCAACAAGGATATTGTGGAACTGAACACCGCATTAGATCAATGGACTTAAATGACATATATAGAACATTTCATCCCAAAGAAGCAAAGTACACATTCTTTTCAAGTACACATGCAACATTTTCAAGGATAGACCACATGATGAGACACAAAATGAGGCTCAACAAATTCAAGAAAATTGAAACCATAACAAGTATTTTTTGGGACCACAAGGGCTTGAAACTAGAAACAAACTTCAAGGAAAAATTCAAAAACATTCAAACTCATGGAGACTAGATAGCATGCTATTAAACAACGAATGGGGCAATAATGAGATCAAAGAAAAAATCAAGAAGTTTCTGGAAACAAATGAAAATGAACACACAGCAGTCCAAAACCTATGGAACAGAGCGAAGGCAGTCCTGAGAGGAAAAGTCATAGCAGTACAGGCCTACCTAAAAAAGATAGAAACATTTCCAATAAACAAACTCACCCTACACCTACAAGAACTGGAGAAACAACAGGAAACAAAGCCCAGAGCAAGTAGAAAGAAAGAAATAATCAAGATCAGAGCAGAACTGAATGACATAGAGACTAAAAGAACAATTCAAAGGATCAACCAATCCAGAAGCTGGTTCTTTGAAAGGATAAACAAAGTTGACAAGCCTTAAGCAGACTCATCAGGAAAAAAATTGAGAGGACCCAA